AACAGAGTATCTCAAATTCGTGAACTAACAACTGTTGAGCAGTGGAGGTACGTACCGTCTGGAAAAAATCCAGCTGATCTAGCATCGCGAGGAGTTATTGATATGAATGTGGTTAAAAATAAGTGGTGGAAAGGTCCAGAGTTCTTGCTAAGGGCTGATAGTATGTGGCCTCGTAGAGAAGATGAACCACCGATAAACGAGTGTGCCTTGGAGTTGAAGACAAGTGTCAGTTTAACATCTACTCAAGAAAGACATTCAGGTTTACATCCACTTTTTAAATATTATTCTTCTTGGTACAAACTACTGAAAGCTGTTGCGTGGTTGACACGATATGTTACGTATTTAAAGGTCATGCATCTTGCAGGATACGAAAATATGAATGTGGGACCTTTGAGAGTCGAAGATATTAGAAATGCAGAGTTAGCGATTTTGAGGGCTGCTCAGTGGGAAGCGTGTGGTGAGATTGCCAAGGAGGATAGTCCCGATTTCGCAGATTTCAAGGTGCGGTTAGATAGATTATCTCCGATAGTTTCCGAAGGGATCGCTAGAGTTGGTGGACGTCTACAAATGTTAGAATCGTCATATGAGACCCGTCATCCGGCTTTATTACCTTGCTACCATCCAGTCACTGATCTCATTATAAGACACTACCATGTTCTTGAAGGTCATTTGGGTACTTCGCAAGTACTATCAAGTATTCGATGTAAGTTTTGGATAGTGAAGGGGGGTACTGCTGTCCGTAAAATAATTGATAAGTGCATGGAATGTAAACTCCGAAATGCTCGTCCAGCACAGCATATGATGGCACCACTCCCAGCGTGGCAAGCTTCTGAAGGGAATTATCCATTTGAGTACGTCAGATTGGATTTGTTCGGACCTTTTGTAATGAAGAAAGGCAGAACCCTATGTAAAAGATATGGCTGTTTATTCACCTGTTTGAAAATGAGAGCTGTGCATATTGAGATGGTTCATACGTTAACTACTGATTCATTCGTGCTAGCATTACATAGATTTATAAATCGCCGAGGTGCACCGAAGATGATGTTCAGCGACAGAGGGACTAATTTTGTTGGCTGTCACGCCGAGCTTAAGGAATACTTCGAAGGTCCTCAAACGAGAGTTCATGAAGAGTTACTGAAAAGAAACATCGAGTGGCACTTCTACCCACAATATGCCAGCCATAGAGGCGGGCTAAGGGAAAGACTTATAGGAATTATCAAGCGTATTTTAAGCTCCATAATTAAAAACCAGAGTTTGAATGACGAAACGCTGGAGACATTTTTTTGTGAAGCTGAACGAATATTAAATGACCGGCCGCTATTACCTGTGAGGGAGGACGTCAAGGATTTTGATCTGTTAACCCAAAGTAAATTATTGTCATTGAGAAGTAGCCCTGGCATAGAGGACTCGGGCGTGGAAGGAATACCTACGATTAAAAGATGGAAACAAATCAGGCACATGAAAGATATATTTTGGAGAAGATGGCTACGGGAGAATGTACTAAGACTGCAAACCAGAGACAATTGGAAAGAGTTGTGCAGAAACTTAAGGTTTGGTGATATAGTCTTAGTAGCAGATAAATGTGCCACAGATAGATGGCCTTTGGGAGTAGTAGAAGGGTTACTCTGTAGCGGTGACGGGTTGGTGAGGACGGTTGAGATGAGAACAAGTTGTGGTATGTTGGTACGAGATATTAGGAAGCTGTGTCTACTCGGAGGTGTTGAGAAACGGAGTCAGAGGATGAACCTAACCAACCTAAATTGTCAACCCTAAAAGGGTTGTAGGCGTACTGCTGTAAGTCCTACAATTCTTCAAGGGCAGTACATCTAAGTGCAGTCCATCGTACTTGGTGTGTTATTTTGTACATATATTCTTGTTGTATATACTGAATAGGTATCATCTCTCATCTATCTGTTGGTTATTTTGTTTGTGTGCGGACGTCTTCTACTTGGATCATCAACTTGAGAAGGAAAGTAGGCGTACTGTTGTAAGTTCTACAGTTCTTGAAGGGTAGTTCGTCAAGGCAGAATCCACCACTTTGATGTGCTGATTGTACATATGTTTGTGTCAAATAATTGTGTGAGTTCCAATTATTGTAATTGTTGGTTAATCTTGTTTGTGTCCGGACATTCCACAACTTACAATCGTCAACCTGTGAAGGGTTGTAGGCGTACTGGTGTAAGTCCTGCGATTCTTCAAAGGAATTCCATCAAGATGTGATCCGCGAGTTTGTGTGTACTGTTTGTATATATGTGTGGTGTGTCATATCAATTGGTGTTTCTTGGATTCATTGTGTTAACTCGTTGTTTTCGTACCTTGTTGTTATTGCGTAATTTTGTTAAAATTTTCGTCGGGATTACCTCTGAAGTTGTTTCTAGTCTTCTACGTTCGTGAATGAATTGATTGATGTTAGAGACAGCAGATGGGTCGTATTCGCCGGGTAGGCTGGGCTATTGCTGAAAATTACATGCATACGGGTTTTTATGTTAGTGCGAAGTCAATATTCCTATATTTCTTGATGTGCTCCATTGAATGACTGGTTATCATGTTGTTCCCACAAACCAAAACAGAAACTTCAGCAACCATGTAATTTAACTATAAACCAAATTTATGAAATTTAAATAATGCTTATCCATGCCTGTACATTTGATATGTCCTACACAAGTAGGATAAAATGTGTATTTGATTAAAACATTATTATTAAGTATGATTATTAATCGTATATGTAATTTATCAGACTTATGATGCCTGTAAACTGGCATCCATCATGTACAAAATGAGAATATACTATTATTATTATAATTGTTAGCTGCAGTCCCACACGCCGGGGAGGAAGAGTGTAAACGACTGAGGCTCGCATACGTGACCGTTACTAGAAGTGAGGCAGAATGAGTGACAAGCGATTGTTGTGGTAATTGGTAGTGAATAGATAAGAGGATGCCTTTAACTGGAAGGCGCAGGTCGTCATTGATGTGTGAGATTGTGCTGTGGGTATGCTTGTGGTGTGTTGGCTTTTCTGTTTGTTTTCCATTTCAGCTCTGTCCGTTTGACCCAGGTTTTCGCAATGGCATCCAAGCCAACGTGTATTGGTCGTGATGGAAAAAAGGGATGGATCCGTATTTTGCCGGGGAGTGTCAATGTAGTTGAAGATTGGCGTATTTTCTCCGATAATTCGCAAAAAGTAATCACTGAATAGAAAACATTCTGTAGGCTTTATGAAGCTCATAAACTGACGCACTAATTCTGCAGGCATTAGTGTTTCCTCAATAAAGCGAGATTTGTATATTTTGGCTGCAAAATACGAGAAAGTAGTATTCTGGCAATACCAATAAATAAATAAATAAATAAATTTATTCTCATGATACAGTACATGAGGGACGCCAGTTTACAGGCATCATCAAACTGTTACAGAAATAGGACCATATTATTGAGTCACATTTTACAATCGATAGCAAAATATGTTTAACATGTACACTGGAGATAATACGTACACTTGATAAATGGTAATCCGAATAGTATAAAACATCCTTTTCACTTATGTACAATCATTTCTGTGCATAGTTGGAAAAATCCGCTAGATTTTCAGTGAGTGCAACACATCAGGAAATACAGAAGTATTGTCTTCGCATTAACAAAAAAAACCAGGTCTTTGGTGGATGGGTTATAAGTGCCTGGGAAAAAAATAAAGCTTGAAGTCAGTTTTCATACATAATTTTCTTGTGTACAGAATCCTTGATTTATAGTTCATTGATGTGTTATTTTGAAATCAGAGAAATGTTTATTTCATTTAAATAAGTAAATAGATGGATTGATTCTCATGGTACAGTACATGAGGGACGCCAGTTTACAGGCATCATCAAATTGTTACAGAAATAGGATCATATTATTCAGTCACAATTTACAGTCGATAGCAAAATATGTTTAACATGTACACTGGAGATAATACGTACACTTGATAAATGTTAATCCGAATAGTATAAAACATCCTTTTCACTTATGTACAATCATTTCTGTGCATAGTTGGAAAAATCCGCTAGATTTTCAGTGAGTGCAACACATCAGGAAATACAGAAGTATTGTCTTCGCATTAACAAAAAAAACCAGGTCTTTGGTGGATGGGTTATAAGTGCCTGGGAAAAAAATAAAGCTTGAAGTCAATTTTCATGCATTACTTTGTGGTGTGCAGAATCCTTGAATTATAGTTCATTGATGTGTTATTTTGATGACTACAACAATTCTAGGAATTGTGCACTACAACTTTTACTTTATTGAATACTCCAGCAGATTTTAAATAAACACTGGACAGATATCAAATTTATGCAGGAATTCAGTAGGATTTAGTGAACTAAAAGTACTTCCGGTTTACATAGGAGTTCTCCGTGCCAAATTTATTCCTTTAAGGGCCTACACAGATTAAAACTTCAATTAAATAACATTGATGTGGAAGAAATTCCATTAATTACTAAACTTAATGAAAAGAATCGTGTTTTTTATTATTTTTTCATTATAAAAACCGGAGCATTCGTAATGTTTTACTTCATGTAAATGCAGTTATATACAGTTGCACTAAGATCTCAGTGCAGCTCGATGCACTATAGTATATATACAAATAAACTGAAAAATAATATCCTCCTTACTTTATGAACAAATTGTCCTTATTCAAGGATTATAACTTTCTTTCACCTATGAGCCTGAGTTATGTCTATGAAATCACAATATTACATTAGTTAAATCTTCCCCGAAAACCAAGGCCACTTGAAACCAGTAGCAATATAGCAACAGGCGTCAATACGGGGATATGCAATAAAGTCGCTCCTTTGAACTGACTCCCAGAAGTGGTGTCAGCAACCTCAACTGATTCATTCAAGAAATCTTTGGACAACCACAGAAATTTACTAGAAAAGGATTAACATAGGCTCCAAGCCCTCTATCTTCAACCAACAAACAATAAATCTGAAATCTGAAAAACCGATCCTCTGACCTTGACCTTGGCGCATGAAATGACTTTGACTTCTAAGTCCGAAGTAAATGGACGTTTCGATTATTCACAAGATATTGGGATAGAGTTCAAGTAAAATAATCTGTGTGCAAAAATAACCTTATATTTTTGATAGAACTGAGTCACTTTTGTGTCGCGTGAAGTATCAAAATAATTTACCTGAACTTCCATTCGACCCCAAATTCTTAACATATCCACTTGAACCGTCTAGGTTCGTGGACTATGTTGCAACGACCTTAGAGAGGAATTGCCAGCACGATCTACTCAATGATACAGATTTAGGTGTGGAGGTCGATCTAGTAGATCCAGTGATTTTCCATATTGAAACGAACCGTTTGTGTTTTGCTTTCTGTCTAACTTTGCGTAATAGCAATTCATCACCCGGATGATGAGAAACTCCTAGAGGATGAAGTCCCTGCGTCTTCAAATACACGAAAATCTAGACACCAAAAGTCAGTCTCATGGCTGAGGAAGACCGAATATATATCCACGGAGCTGTATAATCGTTGGAATAAATCTGAAAAGGTGGAGTCACGGTATGTGTTTCTAGAGATTCTAATTTCTTAAGGCTGGGTTACAACGTTAAGCGTCATCTCAACGAAGAGATAGTTTACCGTGATCGTGACAGCCAGATAAATGCCATCGAAGAAACCTTCATAGCTGCCAGCAAGCCTATTCACAAACATTATAGCAAGCCTAATGTTCATGCTGTGGAAGTGCTTCCAATCCTACCTGACTTTACACTATGGAGGTATCCATGTGCTCAGGTGAGTTCGTTACATTCAGTAGCTCTAACATTTTCAAACCCTGAAACCAAATCATGCATCTATGAAATGTTAGCATAACACGACTATGAGTTATTAAAAAAATCCGAGTCAAAGTAGGCATAATGCTGCACCTTCTGAAAGCATAATTTGGCATACAGGTGTATTCTAAGTGTTGACAGGTCTCATCGTGTGTACAGTTGGATATAGTTTAGTGAAACTTGAATATGATTAGAAACTTGATATGATTATGAGCAATCGCTTGTGCTGGAAACGTCATCAGTTAATGTAACTGTACAACACTGTATGATATATCAAAATAAAATCTTATCCATAATGGAATTATACTCTACCACAGTGCCCAAGTTTTATACTTATATCAGTTTAGTGAAGCATCACTCTTAGAATTTGATGTCCGTGGTCTCGTGAAGATTCGGTTTCTTGCTATGATTGATTTGTTGAAAATGACATTTCCACACTGAGTGGAAGTAAAAGGAATAAGTTATTCGTCTTGGCTGTTAGAAGCGAAAATATAAACTCGTATATGCTCATTTAATTGAAATTCTCTATAACATGTATACCACTCTCTTGGAATTTATTGGTAATTTGTTACCTTCCTAGGTTATTTTCGACGACGATCCTATTCGCAAAAACAAAACTTCCTCACAAAAAGACGATGTTAGTCAAGCAATGATTCGGTTAGTATTTTTCAATGGTTTGTTAATTCCCTTTTAAATGTCGGTATTGGGAATTAAAAAACAAGTGATGGAGAATTCTGGATCCATCCTTCTCGTTATTTTTGCTGAGTATCCTCTCCTAGTGTTTTGTGTAAATATTAGATCATGTCCCGGAATAAGTTTACAAATCTCTCGGGACCATAGCTCACACCGGCACAATGTACAAGGTATATATATATATATATATATATATATATATATATCAATATCTTACTACCCTTTGACTTTCGATATTATGGTTGTGACTTGCTTTTTAATATTTGGTGTGTATATCCCACTGGTGAGGTCTATCTCATTTCTTTCGCTTTCGTCACCCACCGCTATTTGTGGATTTTTGAGAAGAGTTTCGGTGAGCTAAGGTTTGAGCAGGTTGTTCTTGTTACAATGTCACCAACACCCCGTTATCAGACTCTTTTCAGCAATCAGTTCAAATGAAGTTGCAGTATTCCACTAACATTTATTCACCTTTGTGTACCAGTTATCAACAGACCTAACTAATCTTTGTACAGCTGGTCAAATATGCTGCTGGGCCTACTCAGAATGATTAATATGGTCATATTCAGACTGGTGTTTTGGTATCTCGTTTAATTATGCCATTAACAGTATCACTGAGAGTTTGGGCACGTCAGGACTTCGTAGTTGCTTAATTTTTACATCTACTAATCGGCCCTCCTCATTTTCTGAGTTGTGAAGTGATTAATTAGTTTTAGGGCAGTTTGTGTTTTGTCACAAGGGAAGACGTTATCGTACACTTGTGTGACTTAATTAACTTTATCTAATGTTGTTTCCACAATGTATTATTTGTCAGTTGGCTTAAACCTCTGCTCTTAAGTTTTTGACTGGTGGCAGTGTCTTGAAACCAAATTTTTTAATTACAGCTGTTCTCTCACGGATGTTTAGCGTTTTTCACTATTAGTCTTGTAGATTGACTTTTGGAAGCCTACTAAAGCGCATTTACTATTGAAGGAACAAAAACTTTCCATGATAAATTCAGATGGACATAATCAGTTAGCTACTATGTACTGAAATCTACACGATTATCATTTTTATTAACTTCAGATCTCAATCATATTCTAGTCAAAAAGATTACTTAGTTGTTTGAAAGTTATTTGTGTTAGTATTTTGTCTGTTTATTTTTTATTTTATTTTTGATTATAGCTGGATTTCACACTGTATTGTTGGTACAAGTATAGAATTTTCAGCATGGATATCGGTAGCCCAGATCTTGCAGGCCAGCCATAGATATCAGGTGTGCGTCAGCAGGGGATCGAACCTTGGACCATGTGCATGGTCGGCGAGAGTCCTAACCACTGTGCCACCAACGCACTTAGATTACTTAAATTAGTCTGACATACTTGGAATTTACTTCGCATGCCTACATTCCCCATTTTTTATGAAAGGTGTTTTAGGTTCTCGATACGTGTTCGTGCTTTCGGTGCAGTTATTACAGACTTCTGTAGTAGAACCCAAATACTTTTTTTTACTGTCGATTACTTTTAATCTATTTCCAGTGGTATGATGGATGACTCTGGTGACCATTTTGTTGCATATTTTCTGCCTACTGAAGAAACTAAACAGTTAAGTTGTTTCGACGCAGAAGTTCAGATGCCATATACCGAAGGTGCTGCATACGAATATGAACTCACTCGGGAGTACAACTGGAATGTGAAAAACAAAACTATGGTCAACTATGAGGAGAATTATTTCTTCTGTTTTCGTAAAGATGGTGAGGTTTTTTTATGCTTGATGCAGTTGTTTCTGTTAAATATAAACGGGACGTTTACTAACTGATTAGTTTGCAGCTGTTTGCATTCCTGGTCTTATAATTTGAACAAAGTTATTACTTCCTGGAAACCGCTGCAGTTAAGATAATGGACATTTTTAAAGAGTATGATACTTCTTCCTATTGTTGTGACATGTGCCTTGTCACTGATGGTATGCTTTGGTCAATTCTGGTTTGTAAATTGTGAGGCAGAAATTACCATAGTTTAGGATGCTAAAAACTTTGTTTATGCCATTTCGCTGAAGAATCTAGTAGATGTAAACACTTTCAACTTCTGAAATAGTTTTCGTTTCAAATTGACGCCAACAAAATAGCCTTTGAAAAGAAGAAAAAACTGTCCTGGTTGTGGTGAGACACCGTCACCTTTATGGTGATCATCCTAATAAATTTACTCACCGTTGATGTTGATTTTATCGATGTTGTACTCTATTAGCAATCGGTACTAGTGATTATTAGACTTTACACCCTTTGACCAAATAGTATCATACTCACACTCAGCTGAAAAAGTTCAAACGCTTTACTCAGTTTCAATTTCTTGAAGACAGAAATTACGTACAAAAAATAAATAGGAGGATTAGAGAGGTTTCGTGTGCATTTCAGATTGTGAGGGCAATTGTTACTTCCCGGCTGCCCACACCGTGGAAGTTGGTTGCGTGACCACAGAGCCCCGGGGGACAGCTGGTTGAGACTGGTCACACACGGCCTGTTTTTGTTTGTTCTTTATTGTTTGGTGTGTGTCAGTAGCATATTTGTCACTTCTGCCCTGTGAGACGGCAGCAGGAAGCGCGGTCGTTGTTAGTCCGGGCCTCGACCGATCCGGCATGATATTTTGTGAATTTGTTTTAATCATGGTATTGGTTTGGGTAGCTGCTTTTTGTCTAACCGCTATCCAAACAACCTTTCTGGCATGGTAGGACCTCAAGAGATATAAGTCTCAGCCAGTATAGCTTGATTAGGTCATTGCGGTGTTCAAGCCCGACCACCACGTCAAGGTAGCAGCTTTCGGTCGGGCTGGAATACGTAGAAAATGAAGTTTTAAAATAAAAATGATAAGACTCTGATAATAAGTTGTGTAAAGTAACAGTAACAGTGTTCAATAAGTGGATTAATAATACTATGGAAATTAAAGAACCCGGCAAAAGTCTTTTTTATTGAAGGGAATAAGTAACTTCGAAACTCAAGGCATCAGCGCATTGAAAATTTTCATTTTCAATGGACTTTTTTGTTTGTGGAACAACTCTAGTTTCTTTATATATGAATGACTACAAAACTACAGCGATACAAAGAAGCTCTGAATATGTACTGACGGACATTTCACTTCTCACACCTGTGTGTAAACAGCCTTCAAACTTTTCTTTTAAGTTTGAAATGTATTGTAATGATAAGTGACTACAGCGTTTCGTCACATCTCTTATGGCGTTGACTGCTGCTGCCTCTTTTTTTAACCACACACACACACACACACAAGTTTTTCTTTCGATTTGAATTGCCATTTGATTGATGGACGGGTTTACTTACTTACTTTCACTTTACTTCGGCTATCTCCTACGGGAGGATGAGCCGGCTTCATGAACATCTCGAATCATCGCTGCCCAGGCGCGGCGATCTGATGCAAGGTTTTGCGACAGGGTTATCCAATTCTCGTTCCACAGACGGAGTCCGTAGACAGTTTGTAGCCCCAGCCCAGTCACTCCATATCAGCCTTGACTGACTGTACCAAGCCATGTTTTCAGCTGTCCACCCCTGAGACATCGCCAAGATGGAAATGGAAATGGCGAGGGATTTAGAACTGATTTGACCAGATCGTCATCTGGTCGGCGCAGAATATCATGGCCAAACCACTGAAGGTGACGTTGTTGGACCAGTACTGGAATTTGGTTGATGTTGTAGCAACGAGAGTTCATGAAGTTTCATGGGAATTAGGTACGAGTGATGTCCCCAGAATCGCTCGGCCTTTTGTTTGAAAGCGTAGCTCTAGCCTTTACACAACGAAGTGTGACCTACAAGGCAGTAGGAGTGGAGTAGGGAGTACACTATCCATTGGGAGCCAGCCGGTGACCGGAGTTCGGTTCATACGCCTTTTTGAATGGGGCCAGACATCCAGGGCATCCAATAAGCCCTCTGTCCATACGTCTTCTGGTGAGCTCCGGTGAGCTTCATACGCCAGTCGTTGGAGGTTTGGAATCAGGGTTTAGCCATCTCCCCTAGACTGTCATCCGATGGACAGTCAACCCGGTGAAGAGTTCCGGGCATCCGCTTTTGGCCTCTCACTTCGGTGACAAACACCTCCGCCACGTGAAGGCAGTGAGTAGGACTTCCTCAGGAGAGGCTATGCAAGACGCCTGGTCATATGGGAGCATTTGAAGAGGTGTACGGAGGGGTGGCCGACCCGCAGCGCAAGACACCCACCCCCGACCATCTTGAGGCTTTGGGAGCTGGATGGGTTTACCTAGATCATAGAGTCTAAAATGTGATTGGTCGAATTGTTATCTCCAATTCTATCCAATTTTATTTATTTATTTTTTGACAGGAGTCTATTATAATGAATTGGAAACACGTGTTCGCCTCAGTAAACGGCGTAAATTAAACCAGTCGGGAACGAATATTGGCGCTTCAAAACCTCTTAAAACTCGCCTAGTTGTTCATCATCGAGGATTTACAGATGAAGAATTAGAGGCTCAGACTAATCGATTATATATGCTTGAACATGATATTGAAAGTGAAGATGGCAATGCAAGTGCTGATGAAGATGGCGTTAATAAAGAAGAAGGGATAGATGAGAAAAAAAAGAACACACAAAGAACTAATGATATCGGTAATTTAAAATTTTAATCTAGGCCTCTGAGTGTCAAGATTTTACTGACTTTAAAATACACTGATGTGAAAATTGTCAACTAATGCGAAAAATTTAAGAATGTGCTTAGTGTTTCCATTCACCTGTCAAATCATTTAAAGATTGTGCATGTAATTATCAAAAATTTGATTTTAGGGATTTTTACAGCTCGTTTCCTCTCGTCTAGTTTACTGGACTGTAACGAAATGCGTTTTGAAGAGTCTGTCTGTCTGTCTGTTTTCGACATAGAACTTTGAACTGATGTGCGGAAGTTCAAGTCGCCACACTCCCTCCATGTAGCACACAAACCAAGAGAAGAAAGTAGAAGAAATACATATTAGAGACAGTAAACAGAGGTGTGAGACAAAGGAGTAGTAATAACGAAGAAAAAAACAGTTTCGTTGGAAATCATAAGTTACAAGGAGTGGATGCATCTGCGCTGTCATTGAGAACGATTTTGAGCCATATCACCAATTGTTTCCAACCATTGGATTTTACCGTCCCGAGGACCCCAACCAGCCAAGAAGTCTACACCTCCCTACGTGGCTAGCTGAAACTAACTGTTGTAGATTTCATTGACTGGTGAGGCCATGTTTTTGTTTGACCTCCGCTAGCTTTTTTCCAGCCTGACCCCATATCAGCTAACATTGCTCATCGAGGAAGGCGATGACTTGGCATACGTAACACATGTCATAACCATCTCACTTCACAGCCTCGTCGATTGGCTTACCCTCCTTACCTAGCACTCGACTGATGCCTAACCTCAATACTGTTCACCTTATTATACCACTTCACACAGGAGATATAGCTCAGGCACCTATGATCAAAGACATTTAATCTTTCCATGTCTTCCACTGTCAATGCCCAGGTCTCACAGCCATAAAGGAGGACGGAGCTAACTGATGAGCAGTACACCCGCCCTTTGGTCGATAGTCGAACATCTCGTCTACGCCAGAGACGACGTAAACTGGCATATGCGAAACTAGCCCTCTGTATCCGTACTCAGCTGAGATTTCGTCAGAGATCAACCCGTTGGCACTGGCTGATGGTACTTCCCAAATAAGTGAAGCGGTCAATGTGCTCTACCACTTAACTTCCTATTTCTAATCTAGGAGTCGGTGTAGTCCAGTCCTGTAACATCATCTTGCATTTGACGGGAGCGAATCGCATGCCAAACATTCGTAGATTGCAGCTCAAGGTGTTTAGAAGACTCTGCATTTTGTCAGCGTCCTCGCCTGGAAGGACTATATCGTCTGCATATTCTAAGTCAACGAGATTATTCCCTGGTAACAAGTCAATCCCTGAGTCACTGAAGTCACTTAGGGTTAAGTCCACTAGTACATCTATGATGAAGTTGAATAGAAAAGGGGATAATGGGCATCCTTGACGGACACCACTAGTCGTCAACAGTTCAGATGACAACTCGCCGTAAGCCCTCACCTGGCTGGCTGCATGAGTATGAGTAGAGTGCCGTAACCAGTGCTATGTAGTTTCTCGGCATACCCATTACAGCCAAGCATCTCCAGAGAACCTCTCGGTCGACAGAATCGGATTCCGTTTTTAGGTCAAGATATATAATGACTGTTGGACGCCGGTAAGAATGCCTATGTTCTAGAATCTGTCGTTTGAAGAGTTCATGATTAAGTTCCTACTATATTATCTGTTAACCTCAGATGTGGTTACAATAGTGACATATATATATATATATATTAAAGCAGTTAGTTGTGTTTTAAAGTGGTGTAGAATCTGTTGTTGGATGCAGATCCTAAAGCAGAAATATTTTCTGCACGAAACTATATCAGTTCAGAAGACACTAGCAAAAGTAGGCAGATATAATTTGTAAGCCTATGCATTGTGATTAAGCTTCTGTAGTAGTAATAGTAGTGATAGTGTAACGGGAGAAGACGAGAATTGGTAACGGACCTTTTTAACTACAGAAAAACATATATGTACCCATTCTTAGCCATATTAAAGTCTGGCTGTGTCAGGGAAGAATGTAATTGTTTTGGTTAGGTTGGCAAGTGACCTAAGGTTAAGCAAGTCCAATGAGCCTTTTTTTTGTTTGTCCACAACGTAAACCAAAATTCAGATTTAAGGAATGCACAGTTCTACCTCTGTAGTCATTGACTTCAAATTTTTGATTTCAACTTTGCTTGCTTCCTGTCATCACGCTGTAGTAGTAGTAGTTTCTAGAACATAGACACACTTTTCGACGTCTAACAATTGCTACATTTCTTGACTTGGAGGCGGCCTTCGACTACGTGGATCGAAAGATACTGTGGCAATGTTTGACTATGAAGGGAGTGCCAAGAAAGTACATTGCACTAATCAAGGCACTATTCAAACTCACGTAGCCGTGTAAAGGTTTATGGGGAATTGTCATCTAAATTGATAACAACCAGTGGTGTCCGACAGGGATGTCCACTTTCCCCATTTCTGTTTAACTTCATCATAGATACGCTAATGGAAGTGTCCTTAACTGAGCTTGACGACTTAGGAATCGACTTGTTACCAGGGAATAGTCTTCTGGACTTAGAATATGCAGATGACATAGTCCTGTTAGGGAAGGATGCTGACAAAATCCAGCAGAGTCTTCTGAACACCTTGAGCAGCAATCTTCGTATGTTTGGCATGCGATTCGCCCCTGCAAAATGTAAGATGCTGCTACAGGACAGGACTGGACTACGTCAACTCCTAGCTTAGTGATAGGGAGTAAAGTAATAGAACGTGTTGACCACTTCACCTATTTGGGAAGTTGTATCAGCACCAACGGATTGGTTGGCAACGATATCTCAGCATGGATCCAAAAAGCTCGAGCTGCTTTCGCTGACTTACACCTTCTCTGGCGTAGGCGTGACATCCGGCCATCAACCAAGGGACGTGTGTACTGCTCATCAGTTCGCTCTGTCCTTCTCTATGGCTCTGAAACACGGCCAGTAAGAGTTGAAGACATGAAAGGGTTGACTGTTTTTGATCATAGATGTTTACGATCTCTTTCTCACCTTAGGTGGTATAATGAGGTAAGTAATGTTAGGCGTAGAGTGTTGGACAAACAGGGAAAATCAATCGACGAGGCTATAAAGTTACATAGATTGAGAGGTGGCTAGGTCAGGTGGTGCGCATGCCTAACCTTCGCTTTCCCCGACGGGCATTACTAGCTGATATAGGTGGTGCAGGTTGGAAAAGAGTAAGTGGTGACCAAACAAAAACATGGCCTCATCAATCCATGAAATCCTTGGCAGTTAAACTGAGTCGGTCAGGTAGGGAAATGCAGACTTCCGGGTTGGGGCCCTCGGGACTGACTCTAGGAATCAATGGCTGGATACAATAGGTGCTGACATGGCTGAAAATCGTTGTCAATGGCCAGCTCAGATGTATTCACAGTCTCTGTAATCTTTCACATTTCTTTCTACCACTCTACCAATTCTGTTTCACTCTTATACATGTCAAACTCTATTGATTCTCTTCACTCATCTTGTCTACCTTTGTGTGCTATTTTGGAATGTGGCAACTCGAACTGGTGGACTTCGGTGCCAAGTTCTATGTTGAATCCAGACAGAGACAGACAGACAGACATTGGGCTGTATGATTGATTGAATGAGTTTATAGAACAAGCAAGTGTTATGCATAACCGCTACATTTAACTACTTTAAAAAAAAGTAGTGATGAAATTTTCTTTTTGTTATCTGGTTTAGGAAGTGACGATGGTGAAGAAGAGGAGGAACAAGAAGAGGAAGTCAGTGAAGATCAAAATACTGAAGCTGGTGAAGATGTGGCAGAAGAAGATGAGGATGAAGAGGAGGAGGAGGAGGAAGAAGAAGAAACTGAGGAGACTAAAACTCAGAAACGTGTTCCCCCCACTAAATCTACTAGACGTAAAGTGTATGACTCCGATGATGATGATGTTGATGTTGATGATGATGATAGTGAACTGAGCGGTTTAAGTGACTAGCCTAGCGCCAGCATCTCATTTACGATTGTGTCCATTTCTTCTTTACTTCATGCGATTGCTTATTGTAACATTTTATTTCATTATTTAATTGTTTCTCATATATATACTAAAATTTGTAAGTACTCCGAAAGACTTTTTGCTAATGTTTTTTTGCTCACAAAAAAACACCCAAAAGATACTTACTGTACATTCCTCGTAAATTTTTTTTTGTAATGAAGGGTTGGTAGTCTTACACTGACACAATGCAATTATGTTTTAATAACTCAATAACCCAATAGGAATTTATGCACAAAAAAAGAAGTTTAAATTGCTTCCCCCTGTGACCTGGCTCCTTTTGTAGGGCCCGTCCAATTTATTCGCAATATTAACGAAGATTTTGTAGCTCAGCATTGAAAAAATAAAGACGATATTATCGGTATTATGCATAAAGCAACTATGCGAAGTAAACGCTGATGATGAATTAATTCACTTAGCCAGACTATTTTGCATGGATTTTCACAATGAGAAGTTGGATATTAAAGGGTGGGTGGTTGATCACCACTTACTGACTTTTCGACTTAAACTTTGGACAGAAGTGCAACAATTTTAAAGTTGCCACACACACACACACACTATTTAGCACACAAAAAGAAAGAAAAAATCCAAAGGAATTATTCAAGTATTTGGTTTGTAGGGATTTGGTTGATTGGTTACAGAATTTCATCATGAGCTGACATTAGTTAGAGAACCATTGGAAAACCTGCCAAGGAGTACTGGACAGCTGTTTCGTCAAGCCAGTTTGGGACTCTTCCACAGCACCCACCGGAATTCGAACACACGACCTTCTGATTACAAGGTAAGCAAGCTCGTATACCATTAAGCCACTGGGACTCGATCCAATGACCAGCCCACGAATTGTAACTTCTGCAGCAGGTCGGGTGTGAGGACAAGTACTCGCCGAAGACATTGGTTAGCGGTCGCGCTCGGTCGTGAATTGGCAGAAGTTAGAATTCATGGACTGGCTGGCCATTGGATCGGGTCCCAGTGGCTTAATGGTCTACGAGCTCGCTAGCCTTGTAACCAGAAGGTCCTGGGTTCGAACCCCGTGGTGGTGGGTGCGTACAGATGAAGAGTCCCAAACTGGCTTGACGAAACAGCTGTCCAGTACTCCTTGGCAGGTTTTCCAATGGTTCTCTAACTAATGTCAGCTCATGATGAAATCCTGTAACCAAAGGAATTATATGATGAATAGGAATGTAGAACAGAAGGAACATTCACATGAAGATTTGATGGTTCTAGAAGATTAAAGATAGTGAGTGCATCTGTTGTACTACTAAGAACGGTTCTGAGCTATGTCACCAACAGTCTCAAGTTATTGGTTCTTAGAGTCTTCACGAACCCAGGTAGGTAGGTAGTCTAAACCTCCCTAAAGGTTTCAAAGCACAACAGCTAAGGGCTTAGTATATTGATGTAAATTTCTGATTTGACTACTCGTAACCTTAATTAATCCAAACAAATCTAATATTTGGGCTAACATTAAAAAACAATGAGCAAGGTTGTTGTTGTTAGGCATGAGTAACACATTGCATAGCCATTTCAATAAATGCAGCTTCATAACCTCATCGATTAAATTTCCCTCAGCGACAGTCTTCAGTAGAAGCAAGCAAAATAATTACGAAGGTCATGTTTACTACAAGACCGATGGTGATTCCTCGACTGAAAGATGAAATACCTAGAGTAGCCACTTCCAGTTGTATCTACCAGTTCAACTGCGATTGTGACGGAGCGAGTTATAGCGGTCGTTGTTCTAGGAACTTGATTCTTCATGCTCGAGAACATCTCCCAGCATGGCTAAATAAAGGTATAGTAAAAGCCATCAACAGTTCGATATTAGACCACATGATCTGAACCGGCCAAAAAACCAGCATTTAATAATCCTTCTCTATCATTTACCGGGTACCAGACAGATTGTCAAAAGCATCAAGGTACCGCATTCTCCAAACACCCGAGGCAATAGCGATTCGCTTGAAACAACCAGTGCTTTGTGTACAAAACAAGCAAGTCCAGCCACTACTACTTCCCTGACCTTCACCAGAGACTAAATTCATGAATTTGTTATGTTAGACTTACACAATACAGGAGTAAGACAAAGGCTGCCAGCTCGCCTAATATCATCGGTTGATATTCGTAAGTCTGGGGGACTGGATTATGCGTCAGACTGTGCATTGGGAGCAAGGAGACAGAAATATGCTGAACCATTTTGTGTGATCATATTTACACAATTTTTCATCCCGTTCCCTATATCTTATTTATATATGTGTAAAACTTGGGGACTGTGGTATTAAGTAATTCCATATTAGTTAGTTTATTAGCTATATATCTGACGCACAGTGAAACAGTATTATTTACTGGAATACGTTTTTTAGAACACAACTTATTGTTCATAATCATAACATCAATTATAATCACATGACTTTGAAACTTGAGTTTTATAGTTTTCTTTGTTGTCTGCTATTTGTCGTAGGGTTATTAGGATTTTTCAAATGTGTGCAACAGGTGTTGAATCACTCCTATTACACGTATTTGCAGTTGATTCGATAAACAAAGCTTCTGTTATCAATCTCTCCCTCCATTCACCCTGTGACATTAGATTTTAAAACTGTCTGTCATCCTACCCCATCCTATTGTATGGTTGTGTGTGATTGCATGTAATGCCATGGCTGAACTATTCTCTAGATTTCTTATCTTATTTGGGTCAACCAATCTAGATTTTGCTGCTAGGTTTTTATGTTCAGCTAGTCTGACTGTCCCTGTTCTAATAGTTTGACCTATGTATTTCACCTGACAATCATTGGAGGCAGGGTATTAGATGAACTAAATTGTTTTGTTTTAAAGGCTCCACTGACAGGATCCTTTTGTTATGTACTCTTCGAGTAGTTAATAGTCCTGACGCGGAAAGAGGGGAATCAGAAGACCACCAGGTTCACGATGATACTTGTATTTTCCAGACACAAGGAAAATAAATGTCACACAAGAGTGTGAGTGAAAATGGTACGTAGTGTACGAAACGTGGGAACAAGCGTATAGTACAAAAGTATATATAAAAATGACTAATACACATGAACCAATAAATAGACAGTCTTAACATGATTGGTTGTAGTGTCATGTTGCAACAAGGCATACATGTTTATGTAGTTAGTGGACAGACAAAAGCATATTGTCAGTTATAATAAAATATCGATCCATATCCACATAGCAAAATAGTCTGTCAAAAACAAAACACACATCATGTGGATACATATCACCTTTAACCGACAAAGCTTGTTTCTAATTGAGTTTGTGGGTTTGAATGCCACTTTTATTCCTGCCTTGTTAAGAATTCTGCGTAAGGCTTCCGGGGTTCCTTCCTTCTATGGAATTACTGTTGATGATTTAGATCCCTTATTGCTGGTGTCGTCATTATTATTATTGTCACCACTATTATTATTATTTAAGGGATTTATTACTTTATGTACTTACAATTTTAGGTTTACATTTGAAGGGCATTGCTTCAGCCAAGTTGATGGTGTTGCTATGGGAAGTCCGTAAGGGACCCTTCTAGCAGATAGTTATATGTCGTACATTGATAATTTATCGGAAGATTTAATCAAAAATGTGCCTCTTTATAGAAGGCATGTATATGATAATGTAATCATCAGTGATAATTCTTGTTCTGTCACCTCAATTTTAAATCGAATGAATGAAGTTCATAAAAGCATATCACTTACATTTGTCTGTAGAAGAGGAAGATAATTGCTTATCTTTCCTAGACATAATGCTTAGTCGACTGACGGCTTGATGTGTCAATGAAAAGGTCTACTTATAGAAAACTTACCTGGACAGGACAGGACAGTATCTTAATTAATACAGTTTCTGACCTGTTCGGTACGAAAGAGGCTTAGTGAGTGGGGTGCCTCTTCAGTAGAGTCCAAGGAATATGCATGCACTGAAGACAAACACACTTGATGAAGAAGAAAGAAAGTTGACGCAAACTTTGGTTGATAACAATTATCCAGACAAGTTCATCAGGAGATATATGGTAGTCAGCGGAACACCAAGACCCATTCTACAACTCACCCCTAAGAATGACGTGTACATCAAGCTACCCTATATGGATGGGGCATCATAGCAGCTTGGTAATTAGACAAAGACTGAACGCTGCTGTGGTTAAAAAGACTTTTTATGCACCTAATATCATAATAATAGAGAATTTGTGTCAGTGGCAAAGGGGTTAGGATTCTCGGCGTCCATGCAAATGGTTCAGGGTTCGATCCCCATCCCGACGCACACCTGATATGTATGGTCAGCCTGCAAAATTTGGGCTACAGATATTACATGCTGAAAATTCCATAACTGTACCAAAGAAAATATGTCGTGGAATGAAGCTGTAATTGAAATTAAAATTAAATTAAATATATCTATCTAAGCCCCTCGAACATGCGAAAAATGAAGTCACATCCCACTGAATTTACCGATTTGAATGTATGTGAGGATACACATACATACATACATACATAGATACATAGGGAGGACCCATCGATCTCTGCAAGTAAGAGCTGGCTTCACAGCATATTCCAAAATGGCTCCAGAAACAAATGAAATCTTCAGAACTCATTAATGGCGAGAACAGTGGACCCAGCTCGTCTATTGCGAAACATATCATAGAGGAAACAGGACATAAAATTGACGTTAACAGATCATTTAAACCTATCTACAAAACGTGTTTGGTGCGTATCCTACAGTTTATGGAAGCCCTCCCTGGCAATTAGAAAGTTGAAACCACCTTTATGCGTTCAAAGCAACACTTCGTCATCACATTAAACCTTCCTGGGTAAATTTTGTTTTGATACCATAGCAGATGTACTATTACCTCTGCTGTTTGGTTTACTGGTCTTCATTGTGTTATTTTCACCTTGAATATGTCCTTTTAACTTGACCTAAGTAG